TATATATATATATATATATATATATATATATATATATAAATTTGTTTTGCCTAAGCCTGCACCCTCTATAGGGAACTGTCATTATATCTGACATGTTTAACATAGGACTTCTAGTTAGAAAAAGCCCTAAATAGTTTTTTTTGTTTAACCGGAAGTCCTCTGACCGAATCGGTTAAGCACATCAGATCCTATGATGATTCTCCATACGGAAAGCAGTTCAATGGAACACACACACACGTTATATTATATATATATATATATATATATATATATATATATATATATATATATGGACAGCAAAACTTTTTATAAGTTCAATAGAACACACACACATTATTATATATATATATATATATATATATATATATATATATCTATATATATATATATATATATATATATATATATATATATATATATATATATATATTATACTACATTTGTTATATTTTATACAATGTGCGATGAGTAAATTATCGACATTTTATATTTTTCATTTCGCATTATATACACACACGTGTGTGTGTGTGTGTGCGTGTTGTGGCAGTAGATTATTATTTAAACATATATTGTTAAATATAACAATGAATGTCTATTGTGTTTGATCATGGGCCGGTCTAAACTTCGTCCGGTTGCTTTAATTCCAGGTGAAAATGAAGACAAAAATTTCGAAAATTTGGATAATTTTTTTTTTTTATTCAGTTGGTCATTGATCGAAGCTTTCGGCTGACTTTAGCCATGTCCAGAGTGGTTCTACGGACATTTAAACAACAATATTCATCATCAAATATGTTATCCTATTAGGTTGAAATAGAAGATTGCTGTGCGACGTTAACGGTCGCGGAATAGTCACGACGCAACAAATTGCATAGAGGCATATTGTACTATTGTGAGTATTTCGCCCTCTCACGTGGTACGACGTCACAGATCCGTATTATGAATTTACGACCTGCATCTACTATCAAACATAATAGGCATTCATTGTCTGTTGTATTTAACAATATATGTTTATACACACACACACATCACACACACACACACACACATATATATATATATATATATTAAAAAGAAGAGAAGAGAGGTGCAGCAAACGTTTTTGGTTGTAATGTGGATTTATTTAGAAAAAAATATTATGCTTTGTTTTACATAATTTTACTACACGTGTTTCTGGTTTGAGATTAATAATTAATTTTTTCTTTATGTTCAATGTTAAATATTCTCGATATGAGAACATTGAACGGAAGGAAAAAATTAATTATTTTTAATAATATGTGGAAATCTCCGCTTTTACCTGAAGACGGTCGCGAGACCAGAATCACGTGTCGTAAAATTATGTAAAACAAAGTATAATATTTTTTTCTAAATAAATCCCCATTACAACCAAAAACGTTTGCGGCACCTCTCTTCTTTTTAATATACATACTTTTCTCGCGTTGGAACCACTACAACATATTTCTTTTTTTATAAATATATATATATATATATATATATATATATATATATATATATATATATATATATATATATACTATATAAATTTAATTATAAAATTAAACTATTGATTAGCAACTAGAGAGTAATCTCCATGGTTTACAACAATCATTAAACAGGTGCAATTCAATAAAACCTACACTTGTAACTATTACTATTGCTAAGGAGATCGCGAATATTGTCTGCAATTATTTCAGGATACATCATTCGTTTTCTTCTGAAATTACCAAGTTTGTTTTAATCTAATATCAAAATTTGTTTTATATCAGAGTAAAAAAAAGAAAGGAAGAGGTTATTTTGCCGGTAAAATAAACTAGGGAGCTTATTTGAACGCTGTGTTATTTTGCCTGTAATTATTTTTATTATTATGAAGGATGGCGATGTTAAAATAACAACGCACAGATTTAAAAACAGAAGTTTATTTATTTTCACCATCAAATGTTAAAATCTTTTCTACCATCAACTGTTAAAATCATTTATTCATAATCAATTATTAAAAGAAATATAAGAATCTCTGAATATTTCAAGCACTTCAGATATAACAGTCTCTTCAAATCCAAAACTTGCCCTTGAGCATGTCATTTGCTAATACAATTCAGTTGCACCCACTAAAGACAACAGTCACAGACTACAGAATCCATGTTGGTCAAGTCCTGCCTACACAACTCACATAACTACTGTGTCGACAATCTCGAATATAATATATTGTTTTCTTTTTATGTGTTAAGTATAAACTTCCTCCTTATTTGCATCCACTCTAAACCATCATCGTTGCTCACACGCTCAGTCCATTTTATTCTTAGCATCCTTCTGTAGAATCATACCTAGGTTGCCTCGAGTCTCTTCTTCATCATTGAGGAGACCGTCCAACATTCGCTGCCGTAAAGGAGGACAAATGTCACGTAGCAGCTCAGTACTCTTTTCTTTGATTAGTTCTAAAACACTATTTATATTTGCCGGCAAAATAGCCTTGGTATCAATGTTACCGGGAACGGTAAAATAACCTTGGTGTGTATTTTACCGCGACCGGCAAAATAGCCTAATCGTAATAAACGTCATTATTTGGAATAATCCATTTAGGAGTTAATTATTTATCTGCGAGTTTTATAAGTTTTATATTACTTCCCGCTGTTAAACGTTTAGATATAAATAAAAAAAGAAGCAATTATATGTATAATGACAAATTAATTTTGTTCAAATCGATGATACCCTGTCATTTTTTAAAATCTTAGCCAACATAAGCACCGTTCATCTCTGCGTCTCCACATATCATTCGACTTCCTCGTCGCCCTTAAATACTAAAATCAAAAAAGAAAAATGAAATAAAGAAAAATGAATAATTAAAAAAGGGGGGAACGGAAAGCCTTCAGCTGAATTTATCGCTTCTGTTCATACGTGTGACATCCGACCGAGGGGAAATGTCACCCAGCAGTGAGGAAATTGCAGACAGACGCGTCCATCTAAAGTGGCATTTCAAATCCGTTATCGCCGGCTGTCGGCCATAGAAACAACGGTTATGGCGCTCGGGTAAATACGGCAGCGTTAACGGCCGTTTTGTCTTGCAGCTTTCTCACATTGTTGAAGGCTACTGACGGGGTGCCTTCCTCGCTCCGACCCACTGCCTCAGACTCTGCTGCGCCCCGGCTGTCCACCTTCTTCGTTCGTCCAGAATAACACCTTCTGTGTACCTGGTCTGATTTATGGTGGCATAAGTGTGGCCATTATGGCAAGGGAAACGTTTTATTTAGGATTTAATTTTTCCCGCTTACTTTCTCTTACGTTCATCCTTAACCGCGTTCTTTTTCTTTCTTATGTGCTTGCATTTTCTTTCTTTCTTTCTTTGTTTTTTGAAACTGTGATCAATAAACGCTTTCTCATATGAAACTGTATTCTTTCATGTTTCCTCTCTCTACGGACACACATGCATGTTCACACACACACGCACAAACACGCTCTCTCTCTCTCACACACACACATACACACTTATATATATATATATATATATGTGTGTGTCTATATATATATATATATATATATATATATATATATATATATATATATATATATATATATGAGTAGACAGATTTGTCTATCGTCCGGTTCAAAACCTCTCCGAAACAGAAGTTCAGGATTGGTTTTCTGTTATTTCAAAAGTATACTTCAATTCTATACTTCTAATGTCCCTCATACTAAACAAATTTAAATTTTGTTTACTATTTATTTAATTGTTTTTTCTTCAATAAGAATAGATAGATTCGCATATCGTCCATTTCACACTCGTCCCAGGTCTTTTGAACATAATTAGATGTTTGTCTCTTGATTCCTATTTAGGATTGTTTCTTAGTTCCTCATAAAACCTCTGCCACGCCCAGTAGTAGCTACTTGCATCTTAGTGGCACTATCGCCTTGCATATATATATATATATATATATATATATATATATATATATATATATATATATATATATATGACATGGATTAAATAAAATCAGACATAGCTTAAGTTGTTTTGCTGAAACATTATTTTAGATGGTACGGAGAAAATTCTCTATTTAATTAGACAGTATTTACTGAATATTCGATAAAGCTTGTCAGAAAATATGCATTATCGGGCACGACTCGAACCTGCTTTCCGTATGGAGAATCATCATAGGATCTGATGTGCTTAACCGATTCAGTCACATAGGACTTCCGGTAAAACAAAAAAAACTATTTCGAGCTTTTTCTAACTAGAAGTCCTATGTTAAACATGTCAGATATAATGACAGTTCCCTATAGAGGGTGCAGGCTTAGGCAAAACAAATTTACACACACACACACATATATATTGTTACTAAATTTTATATAACGTTCAATACAAGATACATCAAGTGTTGACGACTTTTTAACCAACAGGAGGAATACATCTTCAGCAATGGGATGCAAGCACTGCAAACCGATGGAAGAAAAGTTATGGTCCGCAAGGGAGAAAGATATATATATATATATAGATAGATAGATAGATAGATAATATTAGTGGTAAATATACATACGTATGCGAAATATATCTTTATACTTCCGGCAACATTCATTTTTCTCTTACTTAAACCCCTTCCACCCACCTTTCCTAATATTCTCCCTGTTAAGGTTTAATCTCTCCCCCCCCATACTTACACACTGTCTAAATTCTGTTTTTATTTCCGGAGTTGTTTTTTCTGTTTTCCTTTTGAATTTGTAGGTCTGATGAATTGGATCGTAATTACGATTCCAATGGAATAAATTATGACCATTGAATATTAGTGTTTAAACCTTTTATTATATATATATATATATATATATATATATATATATATATATATATATATATATAGTGGATATATTTATATAGAGGAATGTGTAAATTGTCGGCATTTTATATGTAGCGTAAAATGTAAAATATTATATAAAATTTTGTTGTAACCTAGGAAGCATTACTGAATGGTGAATAACCAAAATGGAGTTTGGAAATAAAATGCTAATATTTATAACATCAACAAGATACAATACTCGCCAGAGGCGTGAAGTAGGTAAACCACTGCGAGTGGTGGACTACTTAGACAGCATAACAATAGTGTCCAACGTATTTACGAGTATAGTAACCATATATAGCTGGAGGAGTTAGGCACTAACTGGAACGGAACAAGTAACCGACATTTTTTTCCAGCGTCTTTAGCGATGTATCGTTTGTACGACTTCCATATCAGATGAGAGCAACACAGAGAAGACGTTCTAATAGAGAAAGTAATATAGTTGTTGAATATTGAAAACTCTCCTGTGATTTATGATGCGAGTTCGAACCACGTTCCCAACGCTATCTAACTTCTATGTTGCCGAAAATTAATCTTAATAAAAGGGATTGGCTAAGTTGTTTGCGATACAAAAGCGACGAAAATAAATCAAGCAAGAAAAGCTTAGAAAAAAAGAACCGAACAATATGCGGAATAATACAAAATATTTCATCCAAGAATCTCTAGTATATTTCACTATTCCCGTCTTTTGTTATTGGTGTTTCCATTTTCTTTGTAATCAGTCGATTAATTTATCTGTGACACGTTCATCCTCTGTATTTTTGGATTTTCTTTGTGTTTTTTTTTTCTGTTTTCCGACTAATCTCCTTCTTTCTTTCATTCTACTTTTCCAGCCAATCATATCCCTCCTTTTGACTGGCGGGAAAAAAAAAAGCACAAACAAAACAAAACAAAACAAAACCAAAAAAAAATAAATATTCATCTATTTTCCCCATCCTCATAATACTACCATTCTTACGAATTCCCCGCTTTCTCTAGATAAACATACGCTTAGCTTCTTTCTGTCAGTGCGGTGGGACAGCGGTCCACCTTGCCTTCCGGTCATACACCCAGGCGAACCGAACCAACTCCGTGAACAAAGCGTATTAAATCTTGATTTTGATCGGAAGTAATTACGCCGGCCTTATGATGACGGTGAAAGGCGCGAAATACAATTGAGCATTCTGTTAATCGGTAGAAGGCGTCTATGTTTTAGCCTGTAGGAAGAGGACTGGTAGGTGCTGACGTCATTCTCATGGTGGAAATGTTGGAGATGAAGTACTTTGAACGTTGAAAATACGAAAGCGGATTGAAGACAAATAATAAATAAACTGAAGAAAGTTCGAACATGGAGATCAGACATCATCCGGACCTTTTCTTTTCAATCAATGGTTTGCGGTGTTTGCCATGTTTTAGAAATTATTTCTGCTTGGCAGATAGGCTGATACCAGTTTGTTTTTTACGGCTTATCAACCTTTTGTAGCTTATTTAAAGCCAAAAATATTTTGGGATTGTAAGAATTTTTTTTGAGAAGATTTATTGATACAGTATTTAACATATAGCTTTGTTTTACGCAAATCAACCCAAGCAAGACTACTAGCACGCAAGGGGTTTACAGAGAGCGAGAGTAAGAGTAAAGAGGAGTGTTTGGCAGACGGATAAAAAGGACAGGGATCAAGGTCAAGACATCAGAAGGTATCACTTGAAATTACATTAGAATATTTGAAGATTATAGCTAGCAAGTGATAGGGGGGAGTTCCACTGACGGGAGGTGCGAGATATGAAGCTGTTGGAGTAGAAGTGATGGCTATATTCAGCGGTTTCGATAGTGAAAGGGTGGGACTGCGATGCCAACTGGGTAGTACGCTTAAATTCATGCAGTTTGAGAGCCAGTGAAAGTAGCTCGTTGGAGCCCTTGCCATGTAATTACTTGTAGAAAAGACAGGGGGAAGCCACAGTACATATATGAGAAAGTAACTGTAAACGGGATGCCAGATCGGGACCAATAACGTTGCATATCCGTCTCCGGATTTTGTCGAAGACCTCGAGACGAACAGCGGAAGCAACAGACCTTATATGGCAGCAGTATTCCATTCAAGGACGAATGGTTGATTTATAGATCTGAAGAACAGAATCAAGCGAGGAAAACATTCTGGCGCGACACAGAGAATCAACTTTCCTTGCGGTAAGATGAAGCTATAAATTCAATGTTGTTGTTCCACTTCAGGTCAGTGGACAGCGTGAGACCAAGCAGGCGCAATGTGGCGCTCTCGTAGAGTTGAGCATCAGCTATCCTCATGGGAGGAAGCTGGGGCCGGTGGAAGTTGATCCATACCTTTCCCAAGGGTATTTGTGCGCAAGTGAATATAATAAACCCGACGGAATTGGTACTCGTCAATACGATTTCCAATTCCCAGACGTTATTCCTTACACATCCAAACTTGTAGCACCTGGCCCAACATTGCTTAACTTCGGTGATCTTACGAAAACAGGTGTTTGAACATGATATGGCCGTAAGCTACTTGAAGAATCGAACTTGAAAACTAAAAAAAAAAAAAAAAAAATTACAGCTTCAAGCCAGGCGTGCTTTATTAATAAGCAACAGGAATCCTTCAGAGCAAAGCAAGATTTAATTAAGAATTGCACATCATTCAGGACGTTTCACTATTGATGCCTACGAATTTTATTTCTGCATCCGAAACGTAAGGAATTATAGAATTTTTTTAATCCGGCATTTTTCTTATTACTATAAAGCTTTTATTATTCGGCACTCGTGTTCGACTCGATATCACTGTTATTTTTAAAAAGTGAAATATACACATACGACCCTAGAGATCGAATTTTTTATGAAAGAAAATAAGCCCCTTTCTACCACCACCGGCAGGAATCGAAACCGTTTTTCCTTTTCAATCTGAAAAAGAACCCCCCCCCACCAAAAAAAAAAAACAACCACACCTTCAGGGCCGCATGTGGTTTACAATTTATCTACGGAAACCTCTTTCAGTAATGCAAGATATAATTACCCTATTTAAGAAATTTGGATCGTTCGTTCCATGCCTCAGGAGCTGTATTGATTCATTGATTGATTTGTTTTCTATGGCTTATCAACCCTCTGCAGGTTATTTAAAGCCAGAAATTAGTAGGATTTTTTTTTTGTGGGATAATAGTTTAGTGATAAAAGTCTTATTAATAAGCAATTCCGAGCCAATATTCCTCACCCCACCCGCACGTCCAATCTTACAGCACCTGATATTCACAAACGATCACACATTTCCAATATCTTAAATAAAGTGCAAAATGGAAATAGAGAATATTCTTAGAAAGGTTCCTTCGTTTGACAATGGTATGCAGTATTGAATTGATCTGAAGACGAATCCTGAAACAAATGGAGATCCAAAAACAATTCAAGTGACTGACTAATTAATTTGTTTTCTATTTATTATCAATCTTTTGTAGGTTATTTTAAAGCCAGAAAATATTTTTAGATTGTTTTTTTTTTAGATTAAGATTTAGAGATGTAATTTTTTCTAATTAACCCATAGCTGGAGGAGAACTGGTGAATTCATACCTTTCCTAAAGGTATATACGTGTAAGTGAATATGATGAACCCGACTAGAATTGGAACTCGGTTCTCAGATAAACAATTCCATACCATTATCCGGTACACCACCTGCACATCCAAGCTTACTGCATTATATTCCCAAGCGGTCACCCATCAACGTACTGATCAGGTGTGAGAAATTATACTGAGTGTGTATACATCTCTTTTTTTCATAGCCGCGAAATTAACGTCTACCGGTCTCGAGGATTGCTTGCAATTTTAAAACTTACACTTAAATTTTAGAACTTAGAAAACCGCGTATCTTTTGTCTGGAGTACACAGAGAGATTAAAAATATATTCCAGTATAAAAATAGTCCAAAACTAATAGAAAAAATACTAATGTATGCTTTCCTACTTGTACCAACAATCTCATATTCACTGTATGCTTTGTTATGTTTCCGGTGTTATACTCGCCTGTCTCAACACTATTTACATTATTGCGACTATTGTTCTCATCCTTATCCTTTGCTATATTTATCACAACGTTGTACGCTCCAGCCTTCTTCAGGAGTCAGCACATATGCTAGGCCACTTCTAATCTGACCAAGCATAGAAATGAACACAATATCGGAACCAGTAATAAAGAGTGCCAGAGAAAAGCGATAATAACAACGAAAATTGCAATATGAGCTCTGGTAAAAAAAAAATTTGTTGCTGAATACAATAGGTTTATAATAATTCACACGCAGATGTCGTCAGGGACACATGGCACAGTGGATAAAGGCGTTAGTTAGATCCAGTGACAGGACCCAAAGAGTGTGAGTTCAATACCTGGTTAAGGAGAACTTGGAGAGGAGAATTAACAGGAGATAACTGATAACTTACATTCATAGCACGTGGAACTAGTAACAGTCTACCCCAGCAAGCGAAATAAAGGGTTCAATTCGACATTCCAAACGGAGCGAACAACGACCGAAAACGTTGTGATGAATATGGCAACAAAGATGAGAACGATAGTCCGAACAATGTAAATAGTGTACATATAGAGAGATACTCGCTTGTCTCTGTCAAATGTTTCTCCTTAATCGGTCTTATATTTCGTATCCGTATCAGTTCAAGATGCGCACTAGTCCCTGTGGCATCATGAGTAAGACAGAATATATCAAAGTCACTCAATAATTCATCCATCAAAAGAGCTCAAGATATCTTGAATCTCAGATAACAGATTTCCAAAAAAGACTTCAACATGCATGGAATGAGCGTGTAATAAACTTCACAAGAACTTCTGGCGCTCGAACCTTCCATCCTCCTTAAAAGTTCAAATGGAAGCATACAGTATTAACGCGAACATTGATTGTCGCTATCTTTCGTCTTGAAATAACTATGGAATAAATTTACATAGAAAAATCAAAACATCAGTTGGAGACACAATTTACAGAGAACTGAGACCAATCTCTCTTAAGAATAAACAAAAACGATTACAGATTGCTGGCCACTGCAACCGAGCAGACAGGGAAATATTCTCATCCTTACTCCTATGCCATCCTTCTGGAAGTATCTTCTCACAAGACACCATAGCTCAGGTCTCAAGTTTGGCCATTGTGGATTTGTGTACACGTAGACGGGGCCGAACAGTATGGAAAGGGAATGCCAATAGAGTTCCGACCAAGCAAGTGAATAGAGAGGCATAGACAATGCAAAGAGAAAGAAGAAGAGTTTAGAATGTAAGAAGTGAATAGAGAGGGGAAGGTAATACAAAGAGAAAGAACAGATTTGAATGTAAGAAGTGAATAGAGAGGGGGAGATAATGCAAAAAGAAAGAAGAAAAGTTTGGAATGTAAGAAGTGTGAGAGGATAGATTCAAAAGGCAGACGTTATCAGCGTTAGTGAAAATAAGGGTCGAGATAGGATAGCAGTAAGGGTAATGCAAATTATTTATTGGCTGTGAGGAAGTGAGGGGCAAAGCAGAAAAGAGAGGTCGAAGGATGATGATGATGATGATGATAATGAATACCCACAAGTTGTTTAAATTGTTTCGCATATCCGTTTCTCCCACAGAAAAAGACTAGGTACAAGTTTAAGCACAAGAGGCTGAACTCACAACTAAGGATATCTGTTTCACAAATGTTTTATCCCACGAGGCTAGCGTTTCTTTGGAGAACATCGCGGTGCAATTTTGCCAACTTAAACCTAATGCCTGTACTCGGATAGTGGGGTTTCCTGAATGTATTCCATGAATAATCCTTAAGCATGGAAATGGAAGCATACAGTATTAACGCGCAGATTTAATTTCAGATAGAAATTCCAAGGATGTTAGCAGCTATGGAGGCAAAGAAGGCTGAAGAGTACAAATGCCGAAGCGTTTTGTGCATAATAACCAAGACGTGGATACTGGTTCGAATAGAAAATCAAATAATAATGATAAATTCTCATTTTAAAAAGAATTACGACGAAAAATCTATCTGCGTACGTTCTATGGATCCATCTTTTCTTTAACTTTAAGAAACTCACTTTAAAAAAATATTTTACAATATTGATTGGATTGATTCGTTTTCTACGGCTTATCAACAATTGGCCGGATATTTAAAGTCAGACATTAGTTTTAGATTGCAAGAATATTTCTTTGTCAAATAATAATGATTTATTAATAAATATCTTGCTAATTAACCCATAGATGGGGGAGAAGAGGTGAATTCATACCTTTCCTATGTGTGGTTGACCGTAAGGGAATAGAACGAACCCACCTGAAATTGAAACTCAGTTCTCTGATTAACAATTCCGTGCCGTTATCTATAACACCACCCTCGCATCCAAGCTTACAGCATCTGGTATTCCGAAGCGGTTACCCACCTCGGTATTGACCAGGCTCGACTTTGCTTCGCTTCGGTAATCGTATGGCAACCGGTGTTTCAACACTATAAGACCGTAAGGTATTTGATAATACTCTGGTTTTTTAAACTATTTTTCATTATTTTTCTTAAACCAAATATGATTTCTCTGTTTTTCTTTATATTCTTTTATTCATTGTTCTTCTAATGCCAGTTATACACGTTTTCTTTTTTATTGTGTTTCGCTGATTAGAGTCCAGTTTTTCCATTTATGAATCTGTTTAATATCTTTCTGTTTCTTGCCTCTCTTATCATCAACTGTAAGAGAGTCTATGAATCAGATTCTTTCCCCGCCGAATGTTCATGTATTTCTCTTCGTTTTAATTACATTTCTCTGGGGCTGCTCTTTTTCAATTTCATTTTCCTTGCCAATCATCTAACTCTCCTCTCCCTACAACCATCGTTTGATATCCTTGTTTCCTTTGCTACATCCTTCTACCAATTCTTTAACACTTTCTTCCCATTCTATCCTCTTCGCATTTCAGTTCATCTATCCTTCATGTTTCTCCTCAGGATTCATCTGACTCTCCTCTCACTTAACCTCCCGTTGATAACATCTTTCCTGTTTCTTCTGCACCCTGTGTCTCACACTTATATTTCCTACTCTTCCCTTTACCCTTTCTATTTTCCCCCTCACGCCTCTCAGCCAGTAAATACTTTGCATTCCCCTTACTGCTATCCTCTTTCTCCTGTTCCTTTCTCTAACGCTGGTAATGTGTGCCCTCTTTATTTAGAACCTATCGTTTCCCACATCTTACATTCTAAACTCTTCTTCTTTCTCTTTGTATTATCTCCCCTTCTCTATTCACTTCTTCTTTCTATTTGTAATAATTCCCCCTCTCTATTCACTTCTTACATTCAAAACTCTTTTTCTTTCTCTTTATATTATCTCCCTCTCTCTATTCACTTCTTATATTCCAAACTCTTCTTCTTTCTCTTTGTATTATCTCCCCCTCACTATTCACTTCTTACATTCTAAACACTTCTTTTTTTTCTTTTGATATTAGCTCCCCCCATTTCTATTATGTTTATATTCACTTCACTGCTCTGTTATCACTACACTCCCTGTCATGCTATCAAATGATTTCTGCTTTCTTTATTTCGCATCAATCGTTTCCAACTCTTCCTTTCCCTCTTTATATTTTATACCCCTCTCTTTTCAACTCTTACTTCCTACATATTTTCTCCTTAATATTTCCTCTATCTCTTCTCTCACTCACTCTCACTCAGGTAACACCCACCTCTATTCCTTTACATCTTTCTTCTCCTAATTTGTCGATTATTAAATTCTCTTTGTTTTCTCCCTCTAATATTATCTGTTATACTGTTTTCACACTTTCCCCATTTGTCTTCCGTATTTCCCACTTTTGTATCATTATTTATTTGCTTCTCTCTTTCTTTCACTTTATGAATTTCTTTCCCGTTTTGTTTATCTTCTTTCTTTCTTTTTTTTTTGGCCTTTTCGATGTTTGTATTTTTCATTTTATCACTTTCTCAGGGCTACAATAAACACTATGGAAAGATTAGCAATCTATAAAGAAAAAAAAAACGTATATATTCCTATAGAAGTACTTTCTACGGGCAGAGAAATATTTGTAAAAATCCCTCGGTTTCGGCGAAAAGAAGGTATTATGCAATTATACTCGCATTTCTGGGTGTATATTTTATTTGCCGAAAATAAGATACTTGCAAAAGGTGAGTACGTCTCCAGGCCAACCCGACTAACTACATTAATAATAATGATAATAATATAATTTTTGATATTCCTAGTGCGAATATTCCATTCTAGTTTTTCTTGCCTAACTTAAAGGAATGAAGAAATTAAATTACGACATGAAAGGCAACTATATTATTGATACTGGTAAGATTTCTGAATCATTCAAAAGAGGCGACAGCCAATTTCAACCATGCCGTCAATCTTATGAGTGACAGTTAAAATGGCTTAGAAATGTAACAGATAGGACTATATAAGAACGTTAAGTTACGTAGAATTGTGTTCTTGAGTTATTTGTTTTTTACGGTTTCTCAACCTTTTTACAGGTTATTTTAAACCCAGAAAATAGTTGTACAGTGTGGTTCGAAGGTCTTGCTACTTCATACTTCATACATAGTGTAATTTTTCATTTCAGATGGCTGAGAGAAAAATGATGGTATTCATACAGACCTTCTCGATGAGTGACTGTGTCAATGAATGAATTAGATGTGCCTTTTATTACTGTATTGTTCTACTACAGTTCTCATTACTTTTTGATACTGGTCGACAAGACTTTCGAATCACCTTGTAGATTGTTCCATTTTTTTTTTTTTTTTGGATAATAGCGATTTACTGATACAATTCCTACTAATTATCTTCTGTCTAGAGAGAGAAATAGTAGATTCTTAGCTTTTTCGAGGTTATAAGAGCGAAAATAAATACAAAGTGCCCAATTGGAATTGGAACTCGGTTTTCCAATTCCGAGTCTTTATCCATTACACCACCCGCCTATTGAATCTTACAGTACCTGGTATTCCCAAGCAGTGACACATCTAGATACTGACCAGTCTCGATGTTGTTTAACCTCCATGTGAATTGCGCAGGAGTTAGGTATTTCACCATGAAGAACAATGATACTTTATTTTAATCATTTCACGCCAGATAAAGCGTTAACATCACAAAGACGTAAAGAGTTACTGAGTGTGAAAGAATCTAAAAGAAGAACACAGGAGAGAGGATAATAAAAGAAAAATAATTAAGTCGCTGACGATTGACACTTAACTTTTTGAAGATCAGATTTGATTGGAAAGCAAGAAGCGGGAACGTAATAACAACTTAATATCAGTACACAATTAAAAGCTTTATCCCAAAACGAGGCATTACTTTACGTGCCTAATATTATTACTCAATTAAAAGATTTATTCTAAAATCGGACATTATTTTCCGAACAACCTAATATTATCGGACATTATAAAATGCTTTATTATAAAATCGAACATGATTTTCCGAACACTTAATATTTCAACACAACGATATTTTTTTATTATAAGTTCGGACATGATTTTTGAAACAACGTATTATCAAAACACAAAGTATTAATCTGAAATCGGAGATTATTATCAAAATAACGTAATATTAGAATACAATTAGAACGTTAATTGAAAATTCGGAAATGATTTCGAACAGCCTAATATTTTGATATAAATAATAAAATCTATAGAAGCCTACAGCGAATTTTATAGTTACCTTTCCTTCCCCTAGTAATATTGTTTCTTCAAAATGACTGGGCATGCGTAAAAAACACAAACAACTGTTATCAAATTTTTGTTTTTAGGTAGAGATGGCATAGCATAAATTAACAAGTTAGTCTATACTTATAAAAACCTACACAGTAAAGAGATAGTTCGATATATATATATATATATATATATAACACCTACAGTAAAATAGAAATTAATAAGAAAAGCTAGAATATGTAGGCCATTAAATGACCCATGACCTTTGTGCATACATGAGAAACTATATATTACTTATAAAAAATAAAATTTGCTGAATCAAAGAAATGAAATATCTCTTCTTTGCCGACATTGTCAAAAATTTTCCTTAAATAATATTTAAAAATAAAATTAAAAAAAAATGAGAGCTGGTAATATACATACTTATATTTGTACTGTAATAATAATTTTTAAATATATTAAGTAATTCTATTACATTTATTTGATTTTAAAAAATAAAATAGTCTATTAGTAATTAAGGGTAAAATAATATTCTAAAATTGTAGTTCAATATAATGTATTCTAACCCCAAAACACCTTTTAGAAAGAATCTTTAAGCATACAAGTACGAATTTAACGGAAAAAATGCTGAAAATTTTTTTATCGTTGATAAAAAAAAAACAGACGACATGCGTTGAACGGATGTCAAAATTCGTTGAAAAATGCACCCCCACCCCACCTAGACTTAACCTCTCTTTCGAACGTAACTCATAATTGATACAATAACATTTAATAAAGATGAACACGCTACCACCCCTGTCTAAATGATTGAATTTCTCTGTATCCGTGGAAAACAAAAAAAAAAAATGAATTGTATGTGCGTTTGAAACTCAGTAAATTTAAAATAAGTTATTCCAAAATTCGCTTGAAGATGAAACAGAACTAATGCTTTTAATTTAATTATATAATTAAATTTGAAGATTTTGGCATCGGTTTTTGAAACATAGTACTTCCTGTGTAGCGAAGAAAGCATATTTTAAATCAGTTAATTTATAATATTTATGCTCTGTAAATTTACATTGAGCACTGTTTTGTAAAAAAAAAAAAAAAGAAACAATAAGAATATCAATAAGAATACCGGATTATATATCTTATTGTTCTTTCTTTTATTATAATATATATATATATATATATATATATATATATATATGTGTGTGTGTGTGTGTGTGTGTGTGTATGTATGTGTGTGTATCTATATATATATATATATATATATATATATACATTAGTTATATACTCCACAATGTTCCGACTGAGGATAACTTCAAAGAAGTTAGCGCATTTTTTTTTTTTGCAAAATAACCACTTCTGAAAAAGCACCGTGATAACGATCAGGCAAACGATAATATTGTCTAGTGTTTAGTTCATAGTCTGGGCCAAATTGAGGTTTGTGCATAGTGCGTTCTACGAATGTTAACAAGTCCCATTAAGCAGTAAAACATGGTTGGTTTCCAAGACAATTTGATGTTGATCAGTACAGATGAGAGCTTTTTTCTTATATAGGATGACCTGAAAGAAACAACATTCATGTTGCTCTAAAAGCCACAATGAATTATTTTAAAAATCGAGAATACATGCTTTCAGACAAAGGTGGAATATCCCGATTGAGAAGAGACGAGACCATGTTAAGGACTAAAAATATCAGAGTTCATTTAGTTCAGTTTTGTGTGCTTCGATGCTTAAATCTATTGGAAATACAGAATAAAAGACATTAGTTTTTGATTAAACATCGTATAATGACTGAGAAAGAAAGAGCCTACGTTTAGGTTTGTTTCTGGAATCATGACACATTTATATTCATTTCGTTATGTTTTATGTGCTTTCCTGATTAAATATGTCCGAAATAACAGACATTGTTTCATGAATGACCATCGTGTCACGATTGGTAAAAGAGGAAATTATTTTAGGAATCGATTCATAGTTCAGAAACGATAGTTTTCGTTTTATTATGATTTGTATGTTCCTACTATTATTTATATTGGAAAGAAAGAAGAATTAGCATTATATAATGAATGACTTTTGTACAAAAATTGAGAAAGGCGATTACGTAGAGGACTATATTTGAAATCTTGACATGTAATTTTCGTAAACTTTCGGTATCGTGAGATTCTACTGTTACTTACCTTCGAAGTAGAGAATACACATTACTTTATCTACGGTTTTCTAATCACGAATGAAAAAAGGAAATTATGTAGACGTCTATATTTGTAAACCTGACATATCTTTGTTCATTTTACTATGCTTTGTATTCTGTGTGCTACTACTATGAGTTATCTTGGAAGTAAAGAAGACCAGACATTACATCGGCCTTCTTATCTCGATAACGAAAGGACATTATACAGTGGACTATTTAGACCGAACATGTGAGCAACGATGAGGTTTTGGAGAGGATTAAAACAAGAAGGAAGCTTATACTTAACATCAGGAAGAGGCTGCTGAATTCTCTGGGACACGCAATGAGAAAGAAGGGCATGGAGAATCTGATACTCACGGGGCAGATAAATGGAAGAGAGAGAGGCAAAGGAAAGCAATGCGTGACATATCTAGTGGGCTTAAGCAAGTGGATGACAGAATAGGGTCTTGGAGAAGTAGCAAAAGAACAAAAAAGATTGAGATTTACAAGAGATAGGGGGAAGTAGACATCCATGATCGTCTACGTCCTGAAGGGACACGGTAAATAAAATAAGAACATTTGCAGACCTGATATATTTTGATCATTTTGGTATACTTTTTGTGTTGAGCGCTTCTGCTTTGGAAGTAAAGAAAAACAGACATTAACTTAACTATGTCCTTCTCATCACTATTGCGAATAGATATTATGTAGAGGACAATATTTGCAAACCTGAACTATTTTGTTCATTTTAACAGGCTTTGAACGCTGTGTGCTTCTATTATTCTATAACAGGCATTATGTTATCCACAGACTTCTTACTGCGATAATAAAAGGACATTATGTAGAGGTCTAAATTTGCAAACTTGGCCTATTTTGTCCATTTCAGTATATGCTTTTTGTTCCTTGTTC